CCGAACACAGGAGACATAAATAAATAAGTCTTAAAAAAAAAAAAAAAAGAATTCTAATTGCTCCACTTTGGACAAACTTGCTCCATATCCTCATAAACACTTAACATTTCCTGTCTTTTCAAATCTGGCTCTTATGAAGTATGTGGTGCTGCTGCACTGTGCCTTTAATTTCTACTTCTGAAATGATGGTTGAAATTATGCATATTTGTGTATTTATTGCAGCCTAGGATGTCTTCACTTCCGGCATAGCCAGGGCTCTAGCCTTCTAATGGAGGGCTTTTTCTTTAATGATTTTTTAGGACAGTGTTCTAGCTACATATATGTGACAAACTATTTGCACGACTACAAGGCTCCCAAATTTTGGCGTTTTAGCGGGATGAACTCGATGTTTGTTGACATATTTCTTCTGGTCTATAGAAGATTCTAAAATGAAGAGTGGCCTACCATCTATCTGCTTTCATTGGAAGAACTTCTTACATTAGAAAAGAGAGGGAGAGTCAAAAAGCCTTGCACTAGGGAAAATCTTTACCAACACAGCAGTGTCTAACATTAGTCCTTCTCTTCACTAGACCTTTCCAAAGCCTTCAGAATGAGAAAAAAAAAAAAATAGTGAACTCACGTAATATCTGGTTATGTCTATCAGTAGAGTTTTTTGGGTTTTTTTTTATCTCATATGCTTAGAACCTAGAGTTTCTCAGACACACTGCATCCCAGGCTCACAGTACATGTTTAATTCAATTGCAATTTTAAGTGAAATTTTATATAATCAAAATGTCTATATTGCCCAAAGTTACCTTTGAAAATTGACCACATGTTAATTTTATGTTAGGTTAATTTAGTGTAGTTCTCATAAGTAATCTCCTCCTGCAGAGATAGGTACTCACTTTTAAGGTGAATCATTAAAAATCCACTTTTTAAAAAAATCAGTTTCTCTGGAAAGATCAGGATTTTTCTGAATCATACACAGCCAAAGCAGAAGAATTAAGGGGAAAATGGCAGCTGTTTTGCAATTAAAAAACAAAACAAAACAAAACAAAACAAAACAAAACAAAACAAAAAAACAGAGTTGAAAGTCCAGTGATGGTGAAGTTGGCTAGGCATCGTCATTATGCTAGTCCTTGATCTGGTCTGACCTGTGTCTTCACTGTCCAGGCCCCTGTCATTCCTTCCCACTTTCCAAGTCTGCTTCTGAAAACTCATTCATTATTGCATCTACCTGATTTACTTTTAATAAACCCCCTCCCTACTTAAAAGAAAACCCAAGGCAACAAACTAGCCATGATTTTGTTGTGCCAGTTTACCTATGAAATTACTATTAAAATGAATTTATAAATGTTTGGAAATAAACATACTGTGCTTATAATGTATAGGCTGGAATTCTCCGACAGATTTTGTCTGAAAAAGAACTCTTGTTTGTTTTGTTTTGTTGGTTTTTCAAGAGTTTCTCTGTGTAGGCTTGGATGTTCTAGACTTGTTTTATGGACCTGGATGGCCTCGAACTCACAGTGATCGAATGCCTCTGCCTCCGCCTCTCTGAATGCTGGGATTATAGGTGTGTGCCACCTGCACCCAACTGACTCTATTCCTTTTAAAACTTTCCTTTGAAAAGGATAGTTCTGCAGCATCTCCCTGCCTCCCTTTAATAATCCTCCCAGCTATTCTTCTGTGTAGCTAAACACATCATGCTCCATCTAATTTTTTTAATTGTTATATAATAGGAAATCTTATAAAGCTGTGACTGCTTGCATGACGAGATCCCCTAAATATTCGATATATTTGTGGTACGAACTCAGCACTGACTAACTCAAAACTGGTGACTAAAACCAAAGACATCACTATCCTACATCCTTCTTGAATTTTCAGCAAATAATTGTTATATGGCAGCTACACACATAATCACTTCATTTGCATAAAGTACTTTCCAGAAACCTCATTCTGGAAATTCCTATTCATGTGTTCTCCCCACAAAAGCTGAGGACAAATAAGACTAATAACACTTCAGAAAACAGGTGGCATGCTGCAAAGTCTGAGAAATGCTTTCCTTGCATGAATACACTAAAAGTGGGTAACGGGACCGTAGAGGTCGGTGACTGCCATAGCCTGTCCTGGCATTTACCGTGTTCTCAGGGGGGAGCTTTCTCTGAGCTTCGAGGCACTGAGTGAGGAAATATACGACTTCTTTCTTCTTTTCGGTTTTTCTTTTCTTTTGTGTGTGTGTGGGGGGGGGGGGTTAAGACGAGCGTTCCTCTGTATATCCCAGGCTGGCCTCCGCCCGGTCCTCACCCCTCAGCCTCCCTGCTGTGATTACAGGCAAACGCCAGCACACCTGGCGAGGGTCTCCTAGGATTCGGTCTGGACAGGGAACGCGACTGTGAGGACGTCAGCACCGAAGTGCTGCCTGAGGCCCCGGCAAAGACCAGGCCTCGGCGTCAGCTCACTTTCCTGAGCACACCTCCAGCCCCTCGGCATCCCCGATGGTTTCCCTGGGGCCCAGCGCCTGCCAGCCGGGCGGGGTCTGAGTTCTGCCAGGCGCTCAGCTGCGCTGCTTCAGCCTCCGCTTTTCCACCCCTGCTCCACGGTTTCAAACGACACCTGAGGGCACAGGTAACAATTTTCCTGCTGTGCGCAGTCGCTCCGCCCTCCCGTCCGCCCGAAGCCGCGGGCCTCTGTGCGCACGCGCTGCACCTCAGCGCGCTCTCACCCGCTGGGCGGTGTCAACCCGGGGCGGGGGAGCGCGCATGCGCGAGCCCGCCCGGCGGCCCCGCCCCTCCCCCAGGGCCCCGGGCCTGCTCCTCGGCGCGCCCCGGCCATGGAAGCCCTGCGCAGGGCCCACGAGGCCGCGCTGCGGCTGCTGCTGTGCGGGCCCTGGGCCTCGGGCGCCGCCTCCCGCCCGAAGCCCCGCGCCTCCGAGGTGCTGACGCGGCACCTGCTGCAGCGGCGCCTGCCGCACTGGACCTCCTTCTGCGTGCCCTACAGCGCGGTCCGCAACGACCAGTTCGGCCTGTCGCACTTCAACTGGCCGGTGCCGGGCGCCAACTACCACGTCCTGCGCACCGGCTGCTTCCCCTTCATCAAGTACCACTGCTCCAAGGCGCCCTGGCAGGACCTGGCCCCGCAGGACCGCTTCTTTACCGCGCTCAAGGTCATCAACCTGGGTGAGTGGCGGTGCCTCGCCTACCCGGGGACCCCTCCGGCCACCCTGGGCCGCTGGTGCGCGAGCTGGGCCTCCGGGGCCGGCCCTTCGCCTCCCCAGCGGGCTGCCTGCAGCAACCGTGAGGTCGTGCCCTGCCACGGTCCATCCCAGAAGGACCCTGGCACGGGCAGCGAGTCGGGAAACGCCGCCACTTGGACAGTGGTTCTGAAGCTGCTTAGCAGGAGCCCTTCCCGCGCTCATCACTTGGGAGCTTCTGGAGGACAAAAACTGGACGGACTTTAAAGTTTCTTTGTCTTCCTGTGAAAACTCAGCAACTGTGTTTTGCTAAAAGCAGTAGGTTCTCTCCAGGCATCATTTTTTCTCAGGTGGTAGGCTTAGAAGATATTTGAAAGATGTTGCCTCTTTATTATTTATGTTCCTGAAGATAATCTAATTCTGACGGTTTCTCCTCCCGCTAGATGTTTATGTTCTTTTGGTTTAACGGCAGAAAGGTCAATATCCTCGATTGTAGATGTGACAGTATTTTATAGATTAGGGAAAAATACAAGTCCTCAAGATGTTTTGGACCTATTAGTAGCTGCTTAAAAAATTAAGTTAGATTTCAGTCACTCGATCAACACACGGAAGCCGAATCAGTGTAATCCAAATAGTTTTCTTAATCCAAAATTAAAACTAAATTCTGCATCTGTACTACTTTTATATATAATCCAATGGTTCATTAAGTTTAATAAGGCATGGCATTTCTGCTTATATAAGTTATATCACTTACGGGATTTGGGGGACATTGTCCCATTGGAACTGTCGTAGGCTTAATCCAGGAAGGAGATTACACACCAGTGTATATAATCCTTTTAAAATGTGTTTCAAAACTTGGCTGATGGATTATACAGAGTACGCCCACAAATTCAGAGGTTGGAATAAAGTTGGTATGAGATGATTTGTAAACTTCAGACTGAAAGTATGTGGATATGCCAGAATACTAATTAGAATTTTGAAAATGCGTTTATTTTAGCGTTTTCAAAAATCAGTAGGAATCATTCTTTTCATATATGGAGTGATGGGTTAGGAAAACTATGAGGCCACACTATAGGAAAACTATATAAGCTCAATCCCTTTTTTAAAATGTCACAGTTAAAGTTAACATTTCCTTTGGATACCTGTCATGATTAAGGGCCTCTCTTTTAGAGGTAGGTGGTTAAGACATCAAAAGAAGAAAAAAAAATATTCCCACTTCCCACAAAAAAAAAAAAAAAAGTAAAGCTTTTCCAGAAAAACATCAGATGTAGGGTTTTGTTTGTTGTTTTATTTTGGTTTTGTTTTTTTTAAACTAAGAGTAGTTTAATAGTCTGTATGGGTGTTTAGAAATTCTGTAAGTGCAGCAAAGACAGTGTTCCTGCATGCTTTTTCGGGCTTTCTCTGAAATGTTTTTCTGGACTTTTTACTAATTTAGTACTGTTTATTTTATATTTTTGTCTGAACTAGGGGAAATATAAAGTAATAGCATCCTAGTCAGTGTACAGTTTACACCTCTGGACCGTCAAGTCTTTTAGTCAGGAATAAGGGTACAAAGGATTTCTTCCTTGTCCTCCTTTCTAAATGAGTAGTAATCAGAACACTTCATCCATTTTGTAAATAATAAAGATTTCTGTGTACCCATTTGTTCCCTTTCTCCTCCACCTTCCCTTCCATGAAGCTGACATTATACTGATGGTTTATCAGTCTGAGTATCCTGCTGGGAAATAGATTAAGATTTAAGAAAAGCAATTTACCGTTGGAATGAATGGGTAATCTGAGCCTTACTACAAAGTTCAAATTGTTTTAAGTACTTAATTCGATAGTAGTTAACTCAAAATGAATGATTGTGCAAAGAACTGTTCTCAAGTTCATTTTGATGTTCTCTGTCCCCAGTAATCTGAATGTTTTTATTTCATGGGATTTTAGAGATTTTGATTTTGAAGCATACAGACTAAAAATTTTTTTAATGTATAAAATACAGAGGCAGCAAATCTTCCTCATTAGTGCTTTATTCTCTGCATTCTAGGGTGGAAAACACAAACAAAAACAAAACAAACCCCCCCCACAAAACCACAAAGCAAAAAAGCTCATTCATTCCAGGAGAGAAACTACAAAATTTGTGACTACTTATCAACGCTGGCCCTGCTCAGTAAACATGACTAATAATGCTTCCTTCATACAGTTATTAGTAAACCAGTAATCATTAATCAGTTTTTTTAATTTTATCTGTGGGGCATTTATTTGTATGACTTGTTTTCAATAGTATAAGTTTTAGAAGAATATTTAATTGAGATCAGTGATAGCTAGCATAAGAAGTAATTCTCAGGGTCAATACCATTCCTTAAACTCTAATGTCAGTTTAAAAGGCATATTATTATGTATATGTTACTCTCAGTATGTATACAAAACTAATAATTGCATCTACGGCCTTTTAAAATTCCTCACCCCTATTGATTTTCAGGTTTTAGAGTGGTAGTGTCCTATTGGAATTCATTTCTTATTATTTCAGCCTGTACCCACAGTCCTTTCTCAATGCCCACCTTGTCACAGTCTCCTCACCACATGCCACTTGATGTTCTTTTGTGTTTGTTTTTTTTTTTTCTTTTTGGATGGATGATTTGCAGATCACTTTATTATAGTTTTTGAGGATTTATTTTTATGACAGTCCCTTGAGACACTTGAGATTCTCTGCGACTCGAGGAGGGCAAAGACAGCAGTATACTGTAGAAAGTTCCATAGGCTTCTAGGAGATTCTGTTGTAATGAATTACAAACTGTTTCCTGGCATGTTTCTAAAAGTAGGAAAGTGTGGAGCAAGAGGCATCTGGCTCCCCACCCCCCATCTCATTGCCAGCTGGTGATACCTCTCCTGATATCTCTGGCACCCCAGAGTACTCCCAACACATATACTCACAGGGAGCGTGACACAGTGACGATATTCCTGCAGGAAAAGAAATAAAAATTTAGCAGTACATCAGTCTTGACTGTGTGTTGGTTTCTCTATTAACTAGAAAGAAAGAGATTTTCCAAATGAGCAGTTATCTTTTTTAATTGTCTCTTTCTGCCCATTTCCCACATGGAAGCAATAAATTAATACTTGTGCAGGGCCTATAATATTTGTTTTTGATCTGTATGCCTGTGATTTTACACACACACACTGTGTGTGTATATAGATACAGTGTTTTTAATATTTTAATACTTGATTTTAAATAAGTGCCTTAAAAGCTAAGAATTGTGGAAGTCTGTTTTGCATCCAACATGGTGTCATATGCATTCAAATTTATATTTATGGAGAGTATGTGTTTAGTTTGATATAAAGCAAACAGCAGTTACTCTAAAATAAAACAGAAACCTTATTAATTGAAATCTTCAAGAAATGAAAGAGTGAGAGACTTGTTGGAGTCCATGCAAGTGGAATGAGATTGTTTTCAAATCAATTGCAACATTACTGGTGACCGTGTTCTCTGGCATGCCGACCACACTATAATCTTCCTAGACATTAGGTTTTGCCTTAGGCTTGAAGACAGTTGTTTGACCCAGTTTCTAAGTTGTGCAAACATTTCTTTAGCCATCAGTGTTCCTATCTATCTTATAAAGAATAACATACTGGATCTAATAATTGCAGCTTAAGGCAAATAATCAGGGACATTTACAACCAAATTGATGGATATTCTTCTCCAATTGCTTATTTGTGAGAAGACTATAGAATAACTTCATAATTAATTGAAGAAAATGTGTTAAGCAAAGTACTTGCGTAATCTCATCTATGGCTTTAAAAATTTAGGCTCACATAATTGCCACCATGGTCCACAAAGAGATAAAAGTCAGCTCTTTGGTAATCATACTGACTGTCAGCTCTTATATTTCTGTTTCTATAGCTTTATGTTAACATTGCTGAAGACATGACATATGTTAGTACATGCTTAGTAAGTACTGATCTTCTTGAGTAACATATTCATTTGTTTTCTAGGTATTCCAACTTTATTATATGGACTTGGCTCCTGGTTATTTGCCAGAGTCACAGAGACTGTTCATACCAGTTACGGACCAATAACAATCTATTTTCTAAATAAAGAAGATGAAGGTGCCATGTATTGAAAGTGTACATTGGAAAATACAATTGTCAATTAATTTCTGTGTGTATATTGCAATATTTATTTTTGATCATTTAAAATAAAACACTGGCAAACACCTTTGCTTTTCTATAGTGTGAAGTTTTTTTTAATCTTAAGGCAAATCACTACCTCCCAGAAAGAAGCTTTTTTCCTATATTGTTATACATGATAGATGTATAATAACACACACATGCACATATATATATATGTATCATATGGGAACTACAAACACATGTGGCTTCATTCTTGTTTCCCTAGTACTAGGTTAAAGTACAGATAAAAATCGAGTATGTAAACACAGATTCTATAGCTGGATGTTAACAATTTTAATTAACTGTGAAGAAGAAACGTCTATCTCCACAATCATGGAAAGAGGGAAAGTAAAATGTTGAAAAGGGAAAAAGATGCTGATACTACTGGAGATGATACTGTATCATTGACAAATTCAAAATACATGGGAATCTGATTGCAACTGAAAACCTAAGCATTCAGCTTTTAAGATTTTGTGTGGAAGTGGCTTTTGGTTTTGTTGTTGTTGTTAAACTCTTGGACTGTTTATCTGGACAAAGTGGTAGGGATAAAATGCAGGTGCACACCTGTGATCCCAGCACTTGGGAGGTAGAGGCGGGAGGATCAAGAGTTCAGATTCACTCAGCTGCAGGGCATCTGCAGCATCACTAGGCAACATGAGGCCCTAACAAAATAACAGCAAAAAGAACTAATGTCTTAGTACTTTTTCTGTAGCTACAGCTCTTAGTGTAAATGTAACAAGGTGAATGAAATTGATATTCATTAGTAAGTTAAAAACAATATGCCACAAACCTATAAGAAAATTGAGTTCTAGGAAGACCCAGAAAGACTGAGCTTGCCAACTGTTTATAAAAGCAATGAACTGAAATAGCACATATTCACAGATTTACTGACCATGGGGAATGGGCTGAAATTTTAAAAACCTGATAACACTTTTGCATTAGAATTTTATTAAGCTAATTGCATTTTTGAAAACAAAGTCATTAAAAAAATTTATCCTTGGAGATAGTCACAAAATACCCAGATGAATGGTAAATTTCTGAAATTTGGAGTAATTTAGGGAGAACTAAGTAGGACTATTTAATTTCTAAACCAATGGGTGTTTAAGATTTATGATCGCTCTCATAATTACAAACATACATTATATAGCATTTTATGTTAATGTGTTGCTGGTTCTGCAGTGTTTACACATTTTTGTAGGAAAACATTTTACACAGTTTCATCTAACCAACATTTGGATGTTATTTCTGGCAAGTTAATAGGGAAAGTGAACTTCCAAAAATGACTAAGTGAAACCATCAGAATAATGAAGTTATACAAACAGGCCCCTAAATATATTTCTTTTAAGTGTGCTACAGGTAGGGAATTGCACTAATGTGTGTATTGTTCACTTGTCTAAACACAATTCTAAGTAACAAAGAAGTATTTTAATCAAAGAAGTACTTATGCCAATATATTTAGTCCAGAAAAATATGCTTGACACAAGTTAAATGAAAAGCTTGCCCAAAGAAGATGGTGTTACATTAAGCTTCATTAATAATAAAACCAACTATTAGCATTTTGCCAGGAAGGCATTCCTTACAGATTTTCTCTGTAAGGACAAAGTTAAATAACTATAGCTCGTACGTTTTAAGTCAAACACATTCGTTGCTGCTGATCAAGTCAATTTATGTCGTAAAGGTTTGATCTCAACAAAAGGTTGATAAAATGGTTTTTAATTACCAGACCATACATACAGCTTTTCAACCTAGTTGTACCTCTTTTCACACTGGCCTGTTTGATTTCTGATAATTTGTACTGCTGACTCTGCTTACCTGTTTTTCGATAGCTGTAGTCAGTGTGACTTCCTGTCCGTAGGGTGATAGGTAAGTCTCCTAGGAGAACATCTTTGACAAACTACCCTATTGATTGCTGTAATTCTCTGCTGCTGCTGCATTAAATGGAGACTTGATTTCTTGTCTGGCGTGTTAGCTGTGTAACAATTAAGCAAATGTAATATTTTCTTGTATTACATGACGATCAATAGACCTCTTGCTCACATGGAGTTGGCCACAGTGAAGGATGAGCTAGTGATGGCTAAGAGAAGAGCTCAAGAATTAAAATAGTCATTGGATTTATTAAGCCTTGTAGTAGACCTTTTGTTATGAAACTTGCTTCCCAAGAAATAGCAAAGATTTTAAGTTTCTTTTTTTATCATGAATGTTGGCTATTGCAGAAAACCATGTAGTCCAGAAGGGATAGAGTGCTAAGAAGCCAGGAGATTGAGTCTGTTTCTGGCTTCAGTGTGGTCGTCTTGTGTTAAGACCACTGTTTCTACTCGGTGTCTCATTTTTTCCACTGAAAGCTGAGAAGAACAAGAGACCTTTCTCCCTTAAGACATGTCATGAGTCTGGCAAGATGTCTCACCAGGTAAAGGTGCTTGCCATGTAAGCCTGGCTACCTGAGTTTGGAAAGCGCATAAGGATGGATGGACAAAACCAGCGCCCATGGAGTTCTCGTCTTATATTCACACATGTATGTATATATGTATGTATATTCACACATGTGCACAACATACAGACCCACACACATAATTTGTTTTTGTTAAAAAAGTTATAAAAGATTATCATGATTATGTTTTTTAGCACACATTTTGCTTTTGTCTCAAACTATCTAACACACATTTTCTTGTCCCTTTTATTTATAAAGGGCTTCATTAACAGGATTTCAAAAGTAAGGTGAGAAGGAAAGGGAGAGACATTGAAGGTTGTGTGTGTGTGTGTGTGTGTGTGTGTGTGTGCGTGCGTGCATGTACCTAAAATGGTGAGAAGAAATCCAAATAGACCCCAAACTATTGGCCAAGATTTTTTACCTGTAGTTCCTTAATGTAATTTGTATATAACAGTATCCATGCTTGTAATGAAGAATAGAATTGTGTCATTTTCAGGAACATGAGAAGCAACTGGACAGTCATTAACTCAGGCATCTTTCAGACAAATACATTCTTTCATTTATGGTTTCTATGCTTTATATAGTAACAGCTCATGTATGTATAAATGAAGTGAAATTGTCTAGGGCGTTAAAGGTGATTAATGGGAGAGGAAGGAAAGGAGTGGGGATGAGTATGCTAACATTCTGTCTCTGTCTCTATACATATATAATATATAGAGAAAATGCCAGTATGTATGTATATACTTATATATGTGAGCTGTGTGTGTGTGTGTATGACATGTTCAGGTTATCACAGGGGCCAAGAAAAAAAAGAGGTGTCAAATCCCTTGGACATGGAGTTATATATAGGTGGTTGTAATCCACCTATATGGGTACAAGGAACGAAACTCAGGTCCTGTGAAAAAGCAGTAAGCATTCATAACTATGGAGGCATCTCTCCAGAACCTACACACTCGATAAATGATAGGTAGATAGATAGATAGATAGATAGATAGATAGATAGATAGATAGATAGATAGGAAATACAGAAACAAAGAGAAAATATGTGAATTTTTGGTACCACCTACCTTCTTCCCATTTCCACATATATCAAGTATGAAGCACTAGGAGACATTTCTAGGCAAAATTCCTAGTTGCTGTATAAGCTATGAACTGCTTTAAAAGACACCAACATCTGGGAGTATGAAAGAGGTTGCTAATATTAAAAAACAGAAACAGCACTGGGGCTGGAGGGGGGCTCATGGTGAAGAGCGTTTATGCTCTTCAGGAGCCAGGGTGGGTGGCCAGTGCCCACACAGGCTCCAGGAGATCAGACACCTGATTCTGGCTACACACAGACATATATGCAGCAAGATACCTATACAAGGAAAATAAACAAATCTTAAAATTATAAAATTCAATAATTTTAAAAATTAAAAATTTCCTACTGTCTCAGTGGTAATGTCCTCATATACCATGTTGTACAAATATTTGTGTTTCTTTTGTCACATATATTTGAGCACTAGCTTGCTGTTTTGTCCATGTTAACATCGGTAAAAGTTGAAATACTTTTTAATTATTAAAAAGCCATATGGAGGCCTAGTCAGATGGCTCAATAGATAAAGATACTTGCCTTGCAAGCCTAATGACCTAAGTTCAATCCCCAGAACTCATATAAAGGTGGAAGGAGAAAATCAATTCCATAAAACTGTCCTCTGACCTCCGCACAAGTGCCCACATACACACATAACATATGCCCATACGCACACACCAGCAGTAAACATGTTAAACCATGTGTATGTGAGAGCATTTTATTTCAGGTCATTTCTATTTATGTTCCCCCAGAACCACAGGCACAGCACATGTACACTTCTTCATGAAATGCCTTTTAGATCTATTAAAGAGTAATGATGTCTAAGTGTGTGGGATGACATCGAAGACACGGATCTTCATTTCACTTGCCTCGAAAGCTAATGCAGTTAACAGAAACCTTATCCTGATGCTAGCAGGTTGGGTATCTCCTATGTTCTGCACACAGCAGTGGACAGTAATGAGGTAATGACGTTTGGGAGCATCTTAACCTAAACAAGGGCTTAGCGTTACAGCTCACCTGGGTCAACAGTCTAGAGTGTCAGAGTTAAACTATGTTACTGTAAATTAATGGAAAATGTAACTGCACTTTGCTGAAAGATCAATGTCCAATAAAGGCTGCACAATCAAATCTTGTTGCAATGATTGAGGCCTTTAATTGCCTTTCAAAGATAAGGTAGTAATCAACACAGCTTTAACTGATCTTTTTCACTAGTTCAATTACATGCTAATGACTGGTGCCAAGTCAGAATCTTTAACTACTTATACTTATTAAACCTTATGTTAGTAAAGAAAAATTACTTAAGCTACACAATCAATAGAACACAAATCTTAATTACTATATTTCGGTTTCATAATATTTTATGTGCTTGACAAATTCACATGAGCCTTCCTTAACAGTAAAAAGTGTCACTGGCAGTGTCCATGGGCTACAAGTTATTGTTCTAATGTAAATGGGAGGTCGGGCATTCATTTTTTTCTTCCTCTAATAAAACTGTGGCTAAGATATCTTCCACTAAGCCTTGGCCATCCAGCTACTGCTTAAAGAT